CCCCCACTCCTGGGTTCTTCAACTTTACATACTGGTCTTCCCTGCTCTTTGCACATTGCAAACCTGCTGGAAGCCGCCAACCGGGGGCTGCCGCTTTCAGACAACGATGGAAACATTACACCGCGCGCGCGCACCCAAAGAACCGCTTCCCTGAACTTTACTTTCCTGGTCTTCGCGGCTGGATTTCGCTGCAGGGGGTGTGGGGTAGCAGAGGAATCTCCAGCAACCGTGCCCCCCCCCACCCCCATCCCCAGGAAGACTAGGTTTGCAACAAATGCAGACTAAGCCACAGGCCGCGCTTTTTTTTTTTTTTTTTTTTCTGATGTGTTGCCTGTGTGCTGGTGCCAGGCTCCAATCTGTCTCTGTTTGTCTCTCTTTCTGTTTGATTTGGTCTTCTTGTTGGCTGGAAGTACGTAGTGTATGCATAGAATGGCCCTGGGAGGACCGTGACTGTATCTGTAACTGAGCTATGGCAAATAGAATGGGGTGTGTGGTTGCATATGCAGCCAGCCACAGATAGCTATATTTAGCATTGGTGGACACAGATAGGAGGCATCTAGGGCCAGGAGAGCGGAGATGGAGCATGTATAGAAAGATCTGCGCTTCAAGTCAAGAAAAACCTGCCAGCCTTCAGCTTCCACATCTGGCGAGAAAAAACAAAAAACAAAAAAAACAAAAACGCTCCCCAAGGGGTCCTGTCCAGCACAGCCATTGCTTTTCTGTTTTTGTTGGACCCCAGTACCAATTTGCTTCCTTTTAAAATTCTCATGCGGATATGATTCAGAAAAACCTTCAGTTGGGCACACATGGGTGTCCCTGCCTTCCACAGGTTATGCAACCAAAACTTGAGAAAAACTGAACGTGGAATGAGACATTTTCCTATAAAATATCGCCTGGGGTCCTTAACCAAGGCTCTGGCAATTAACTAGATAATCCTTTCTGTCTAGCCAGAGACTTTTGAGAGGCTCCCCATGCCCTTCAGCATCCTACCGTATTGAATTAAAATCTGATTGCCACACACACACACACACCCACACACACACACACACACACACACACAAACACACAAACACACACACCTGCTACTGTAACAAAAGACATAAGCTTATACTTTTTAAATAAACTTCCTCTGTCCCAACCTAATGTCCCCTAAAATAACCATTAACCTTTGACTTTGATTGCTATTCCATATGCCCCCAAAGAATACCTGGTACATGCAAATGTCAAGGTTTCTGTGACTAATAGTAACACTTTGAAAATATTTTCTGCTGCGTACACAGTTCATCTAATTCTTAGGGGGAAAAAACAGATCGTTTTGGATGCTACACAGCCAAGCTGATTTAAATCCAAAGACAAAGTTGAGTTTAAAGTCCATAAGTCAGGGTGACAGCAGAGAAAGGGTTAAAAACACATTAGGTGAATCGCAGATATTTCTCTTTATGGCCAGCAACCATTACTTTCTAGAGCAATGTTATCACAGATGATTTAGTTTTCGTAAATCACACTTTCAATTTTCAAATGCCTTTTTAAAACACATGCAAAAGCAAGCACTTCGTGGGGCTCTTTGAAAATCTCACCCAGCCAAATTATATATAAATGGCACAAAGAAGCCTACAAGTCCAGAAAGGGGAAAAGAGGAGCCGCACAGATTCCCCCGATAGAAAAATAGCACAGCCTCTTCTCCGACTAGGATACAGACAGTAGGCAGAAAGGTAAGTTGCTTTCTCAAAATGCTCAAGCTAGAGAGAGAAATCAAAAACGATCCTACCCTGCTGGTGCAAGAGCGCCTTTCCAGAAATGTTCCATGGGCTTGTAGAGGTGAGGGCCGAGACAGTAAGAAGGAAGGAAGGAATGTGCTCGAATGATCGAGTGGCTCGGTGTGTGATCAAGGCAGAGCGTGTGTGGATGTGTTTGTATGTGGAGGGGCAGGGACTCTCGGGAAGCAGCCAGTAGGCAGGGCACTTGGCAGCCCCTCCCGGCAGACGCGGCAGCTGGGCTTCTGCACAACGCTGGATGAATGGCAGTGGGAGTCCGGGGAGCCTTGCTGTCTGCCGAGGGACAGCAGTAGCACAGCTAGAGACAGCCGCTGCTTTCCCAGAAGAAACTCCAGCCCCCTTCACTCCCTACCTGTGGAGCCAGAAGTGTCCCATGCTTTCTGGTATAGAGAGTGAAACAGAGCTGTAAATTACAGGTTCACAGCTAAACTCGATTGATCCCCAAAGTGTGAGGGGAGGGTCTTCCCAAACAATGTAAGTTAACAAGAAAAGCTTTCTGGGGTGCATTTGGATCAAACGCCCTAGCCCCACTTCACCTCTGAATGAGTTGCTCAAAGGC